TTGGAGGTCAGGGTGCCTGGAGGTCGTGGCTCCTGGAGGTCATGGAGCCTGGAGGTGGGGGCACCTGGAGGTCGTGGCTCCTGGAGGTCGTGGCTCCTGGAGGTCGGTCATGAAGCCTGGTCTTGCCCCACGGGGGGCCCTGGTCGGTGGTGAGGCTCGCCCGGGACGGACGTGTGCATCGGAAGGGCCAGTGAGGGGCGTCGGACCGAGAGCCGTCGGGACCGCGTGAGCTGGGCTTGTCCTTCGGGCTCATTACTTGTTCATCAGCACCGCCTACGAGGCCGGCCCCACGCGCACAGGCCCCGAGGCGGGAAAGCCCAAAACAAGAGCCTGGAGCGGAGGCCGCACACGAGTCGCGCTGTTGGTGGCTGGCTGGGACCCTGAGGGGCAGCAGACTGTCCATCCGTGTCCACCCATCTCCTTACAGAAACCGCTCGGAGTCAGAGCCTGTCCTGAAGGCTCTGCCCACAGGCCGGGGAGCATGCGGTGTGCAATGTTTGTGGGTCCACTACGCCCCCCACGTCTGATGGTGAGGGGGCTCTGGCCGGGGTGCTTGACTGTGGCTGAATCGTCGTCATTAACTTCATATTAACAGCAATGAGAGACTGGGGACACAGGAAGACCCAGCACCCGTGGGGAATGACAGAATCCACAGGTTCCGAACGCCAGGGCCGTGGACGTTCGGCAGTTTCCTTGCCGTGTCCTCCTTCCCGGCGCGTCGTGAAGAGGTGTCCAGGAGTGTGTCCCTCAGTCACTAACTCCCCAGGTTCCCGGGCAGGTGCGTCTGTTGTCTTCCCATCTCCCGGCTGGGCCCAGGGGGACTGGCCACCTTGGAGGGACCCGGGCTGCTGCTTGGTCGCTCGGTGTGGAAAAGCGGGGCGATGACAATAACTGTTTTGTGGGGATGACCGGTCCCCCGACGCCAGCAGGTCCGGGCCTTAGAGAGCCTCCAGGCTGTTGCCTGAGTGAGGGGAGCTGGGGGCAGGCGGCATGTGTCCAGAGCGGGGCCGGGCCCCAGGACACCGTGCCATCGACCCCTCGGGGCGGGGGTGAGACAGACCCCGAGAGTCGCCCTGCTTCCAGGCCCGCCCGGAGGAGGGCAGCCGGGAGAGGACACAGGCGCGAAGGCCACCTGGGCACAGGACACTGGAAAAACGCACAAGCAGGAAACAGGTGCGCCGGTAGGAAGCGGGGTGGAAGGAAGAAGACAACAGCCAGGATGAGAGCAGGGAAGATGATGCCTGAACGCAGTGGACACGGCGCCTCCCCGTCTGTCCGGCTGGACGAAGGGGCTGGTGAATCCCCGTCCGGGAGCCCCAGGAGGAGCCGGCAGGCAGGCTCACACACACGCACAGCCAGACGGTTCACACACACGCACAGCCAGACGGTTGTCAGGGGAGGATTTATTTGTCTGCCCTTGAGTGTCACTGGACCACAGGCCAGACAGGCCCTGATGTGGAAAACAGCCTCGGGAGTGATTTGGGGAACACAAAACCATTTTGAAGCCTCGAATGCCCCGGTCAGTAAACTGCAGGCCTACTGTCTTGTGTCCCGTCCCACAAAGGGGCAGCACACATGTGTGTGACACGCGGCTCTGAGTGTTCAGAAGCAGCTCGCTTCCTGCAGGACGGAAAGGCCCGGGCCGTGTCGTCTCCAGGGTGCACTTCTGCCCCAGATGCCCCGAGACGGCCGTGCGCTCCCAGGAATCAGCCGGAAGCAAGTCCTCACGCGGGGTTTCCAAGCAGGCGCCTGTGGTTACTACCGGCAGACGAGGGTCTGCGATCCATAGGCCGGGTCCTGTGGGAGACAAGTCGCACTGAGCACACGGACAGACGGGGGACCCGTGTCGGCCCTCGGGTCTCGGCCGGGCTAATTAGGGGTGCAGGTGTGCAGGGAGCATCTCCAGGGACAGGACAGCGGGCTGTTGCAAGGGCCTGCCGACCGCCTAGGTCTGACAGGTGCAGGGGTGCGAAGTGAGTTTTTAAAAAGTCTTACTTATGTTTATGCAATCTCTACACCCAATGTGGGGCTCGACCTCATGACCTGAGATCAAGATCCGCACACTCTTCTGAACCAGCCGGACGCCTCTAGAAGTGACTTTTTAATGCATCTGTTGAGGTCACACGTACAGAGTAAAAACAGTAAAAAGCAAGTCTAGATGCTACTTACAACTATTCCTTTTTTTAAAAAGTACATTTAGGGGCACCTGGGGGGCTCAGTCAGTTAAGTGTCCGACTTGGGCTCAGGTCATGATCTCGCGGTCTGTGGGTTCGAGTCCCGCATCGGGCTCTGAGCTGACAACTCGGAGCCTGGAGCCCGCTTCGGATTCTGTGTCTCCCTCATTCTCTGCTCCTCCCCCGCTCACGCTCTGTCTCTCTCTCTTTCAAAAATGAACAAACATTAGAACATTTTTTAAAAGTGCACGTAGAAGTCAACGTTTCCTTTCAGCTCCTGTTCGCTGGCGGCGTCTTGAGCCAGTACCTGGGGTGGACGCCCGCCGTCAGCCCTCAGTTGGCACAACGAAAGCGTTTCACGGCTTCCACTCTGGCTCACCCGTTCTAATTTGCCCACGCTTTTTAAAAAGTAGGTTACCATTTCACTAGTTCACATTCTCCTGTAAATGTGGTTTGTGGGAGAAAACACACAGGCAGATGCAGAATGGGGAGGACCGGGCGCTGTGGGGAGCACCTCCTGGTCAGAACGGAAACACCTGCCACGCGGGGACCCACGATCGCCTGGTGTGCACCCACCTGCCCCGCGCCCCGAGTGGAGGCACCAGGCTGCGCCCCCGTTTCCGGGGATGTTCCAGGGCCCGGCTGGGAGGCTCCTCCTGTCTGCACGATGGGCAGTGAGGATTTGCGGCCCGCGTGTGTCCTGTGGACAAGCACACACTGGTTACGACTGTCATTCCTCAGAGGGACCCCAAGGGCCCGCCCCACACGCCGTGCTGCCACTGTGACTGGAGGGAGTGTTGGAGCACCGGGGAGCCCCCCCCCACAACCCCGACCTCTCAGGGGAGGAGCCTGGGCGGCATTACTGAGACAAGAACGTTCTCGCACGGCGTGGCCTGTACCGTCCTCGGTCAGACGAGGGACGTCAGGAGGCCACAGAGCGGGGCCAGCGCCAGCCCTGCGGCCGCAGCCACCACACCCGAGCCCCGTGCTGCCACCCCTATCTGACGGCACTTTTAATTCGTGCAGAAACGCGTTCAGAAACTCACAATCCGTATGCGGAAAACTGGGATTACGGGCAAGACCCCCACTCCCACTGACGTTACAATTCTCACGCTCACTGAGAACGCTCTGCGTTTGAACGTGACCGTCTCTGACGTGCTGCGTGCGCCTCTCCTGCTGGGGCCAGTCCTGGCCGTGGCCCCCCACCCCACAAAGCAGGGGCGTCCCCAGCGTGGGACACAACACCCTCCCCAGCAGCTGGGGGCACAGGCGTCACAGGGAAACTAGGAAATGCCGCGGGACGAATGGACGTGAGCACAGGACGCACTGGGCCCTCGGGCGCAGAGGTGGCCCCAGGAGGAGGGGCCGGTCCCAGTGATGTGCGTCTACGTGGATATGAAGACAGACGTCAGCCGAGCCACCTTGGTTTGCAGCTTGGGGCGCCGGGAAAGGAAGGACCGGTGGTCGCTGAGAGGCAGAAGGACCAGAGACCTGGGCAGACGAGTCTCACGGGCTGTGTGCCTCAACCTCCCCTCCCCCCCACCTCCGCCTCTGCCCGCGGCCCAGCTCTCCCGCCGGGTGGGTGCCCCAGGGGCGTGGGCATGTCCGCCACGGATCTGGGACAGCACAGCACGTGGCCACCACTTGCCAGGAGGGGCCGTGCTCTCTGGACCCCTCTGTCTGGGATGTGTGGCTGCAGGCGTGGGACAGCCCCCTGTCAGAACCGCACGTCCCACGGAGGCGGGCCCGCTCCCAGAGACACCCTCTCGCCGGCACCTGCCCCGGGCCCCCGGGCGTTCCGCCTCCCCGTTCGCCAGCCTTCCGCTTGTATCCTCTGTTTATCCTGCCATTTCCACTGGAGCTCCGGTCCCACAATCCATCTCTGCCTAACGGCGCTGGGCACGCGGGCAGCCGTGAGGGCCTCAAGGGACAAGGCGGTGGTGGGTTCGGTTCACACGGTCCTTTCGTTAGAAGGTCGCTGCGGTCAGCTCAGAGTGGGAACATGCGTGTGCACGTGTGTGCATGCGTGTGCAGAACACTCACACCCCCCGACGGCCGCACACAGGCCACCACACCAACTCCCTTCGTCAGACTTCATGTTCTCGGAACGGGTAGTTTCACAAACAGGTTTTCAGGGAAAGAAAAACAGAATTTTCTGTGGACAGAGCATTAGAGCGGACTGTTTCCCTTTCCATCCTCCTTTTCGTTTGTCACGGAATTATGATTCCAACGTGTTCCGTAAGGAGCAAGCAGGAAGCTGGCTCACGGGTCCTGCTCCCGGGACGTGGGGACAGACGGGACTGGTGAGGTGGCGGGAGGTGGGAGCGGGCTCTCAGGGAGCCGGCTGTGTGGAGAGACAGGAGCGTGAGGCTGTGAATGCGGCTTTCTGAGCCCAGCCTCCTCCTGTGGTGGGCGGGTCACCAGGACCTGAGCGAGAGTGTGGGGAGTGTTGGCCATCCAGGAGGAAGGTGTCGCTGATGGTGAGTCAGTGAGGACTCAGCAGGACATTCAGACACGTCCTCCACCCGCCAGCTGTGCCCGCCGCATGGGAGTCCGTCATCCCCGTGGTCAATTACGACGTCTCCAGGACTCAGGACATGACAGCAACAAGCCTTGGGGGGACCACCCTCCCTGGGGTAGCGTGGGTGAAGGCGTCTGGTCTCCTGGAAGGAAAGCTCTGGGAAGCCAGCTGGGCACTTGTTCCTGCGGGGTCCCCTGTGCCCGGACTGCAGAGGGCCCAGGGGAGCGCGGGACAGAGAGGGAGCCTCGGATTCGGCCCCTGGCCTGGCTGGAGCGGAGGCAAGGAGGCCCCCTGCCTACACCCTCTGGGAAGTCACTGAATTTGCTCCGTGGGGAGCAGAGGCCAAGACAGGAGGACAGGTGTCCCAGGCGTGTGGCCAGCCGCCACGCGCGACACTCGCTCCGACCGCGCAGCATGCTGGAGGGAGCCAGGCGAGGCCACCCAGCCTGGCGGCAGGGGTTGGGCGGGAAGCAGGGGCCCAGGTGCCAGGCGATTGTGGATCATGCACACAGAGCCGTCCGTGTGGGCACAGCCGGACTCTCCCTCTCCCCGCGCTGAGCGCCCACTAACCAGATGTCCCAGGAGGGCTGCCCACCGGGAGCTGAGCCCCCTCCCTCTGTTCCCTATGTGGGTTCAAATCCAGAGGACAAACTCCCCCTTTCCAAGCCTCCCCCCCTTGCTGGGAGGACCGAAAACTGGGAAAATTCAAGCTGTCGACCAAAGCAGTTTCAGGTAAAAAAGGTGAAAGGCCTTTGGGACGTGGAGGGGAGTGGACCCCGCAAGTGGAAAGGGCGCTTCTGGGCGTGGCAGGTCTGCAACCCCTCGTGGCTCAGGGTGTGGCTGCCTGGTCCACACGGCGGCCCCGGCCGTGGTCTGAGCCCGGTTCCTGCGTGAACTGCCGTCCTGTTTGCAAGTGAGCATCCGCCTCGAGCCGCTCGGCCGAGTGATCTCAGGTGTTCTCCCGGCTGCAGTCGGCCGTCAGGCTCCGGGGATGCTTCCCCCCAGACTTCCCGGGAAAGGTGTTCGTGGGGCCGACGGCTGTCAGTTTCTTGGTGTGGGGGCTACAGGCGTAACCCGGTGACCAGGGCTGGTGTCTTAACGGCAAAGTTCGCAAACACAAAATCGCATGTTCGCACTCAATTACGGAACGTCAGCTGCTCGCCGCGTGACACTGGGCAGGTCGGGAGCGGCGCCCAGCCCGTCTGGCGGTGTTTGCTGACGGCCCCTCGAGTTTCCGCTGCTCTGCTGACTTAGCGGCTCGCTGCGGGCGTACTGGCGCCAGCGTCCGCGCCTCTAAGAGCAAGTGATTCTCACAACAGGTTGCCGTCTTACACCTGGAGACGCTCCGTGAACCCGACTCCAGGGACTCCCCGCCAGGTAAGTGGGGGGTGGGGGGCGGTGAGCGGTCCGTGACCAGTCAGAACAGCCCTGAGGGTGCGACCACAGTCGGGCCAGAGTCAACTAGGAGGAGGCAGGGGCAGGAGGACAGGCCCCGGCCCCGCGCAGCCCCCCGGGTTCCCGCGGCTACTCCACGGCCGGCCAGCCTGGGCAAGTGACACGTTCCGGAAACGGACAGACCGACACTATCCTACGAGTTTCTGGGGCTTCAGCAACACCGTGCGGCGGCCTGGGGACTGGGCAACGGGAATCTGCTCTCTCCCTGTTCTGCAGTGTAGACACCCGAGGTCATAATGTCGGCAGGGCTGGTGAGGGACCATCCGCTCCAGCCTCTCTCCTGCTTCTGGGGTTTGCTGGAGACCCTTGGCTTGTAGACGCCCCGATCTCTGCCCTCGTCTCCACCCGGCCTCTCTCTGTGTGCGTCCTTGTCCCCATCCCCCTTCTGTGAGGACGGCAGTCCTGCTGGGTTGGGACCACCCACTGCAGCATGACCTCATCTCAACTAGTTTCATCCACAGCCACCCAGCTTCCACATGTGGTCACGTGCCGAGACACCGGAGGTCGGGTCTTCAGCGTGTGACCCCGGGGGACGCACGTCAGCCTATAACAAAGACTCAGGTGACCGACAGAGAAGTTAGACGAGGTAACAGCTAAATTTACCGGCCCGCGTGACCCGTGATGTCTGGGTCTTCCGTTCACGGTGACCTGAAGGAATCCCTCGCGGTATCGTCTGAACTGCGGCAAACGTTAGTTCTGTCGGACGTTACGAATCTGCTGCAAAGCGTGTCCTTTAAAAACCACTATACCAGACACACAGTGAACTCTTCAGGGACAGAAGTCGAGGCAGAGGTGGTCTTGGAGCTTAAAGGATACGGGTGCCGGGTCTACCAGAGCATCTCGGCGGGGGGATGGGCGGAGGGGGGCCGTCACGCTAGGGGGGGCTTCGCCTCAGCTACTCGGGACAGAAGCAGGGCTGTGGCTGGCCTTGGTCGGTGACACCCGTGGAGCACAACAGTGGCCTCACAACGGTGACACCTGTCTGCCGTGGCTATTAGGTTTGGCTGTTTAAAACCTGCTTCTGCAGGGTGTAGGAACACGGGGAGATGTCCCTCTTCAGGTCAGGGGCAGGCGTCTCTGAACGTGTCGGGACGTGGCGGGAGCCACGGAGGCGCCGACGCGTGGAGGTCACCGCATCGCTGGAAGACGGGAGAGACGCAGAGCAACGCGGGAGCCGCGGGGGCCGTGGGGTGAGGCCTCGGGGCCGTGGGGCGAGCGGCAGGAGGGACAGACCGCGGGAGGCAGTGGTGGACGAGGTGCGGCAGACGCGGGTGTGGAGGGGGCGGCCAGACGGCACGAGCAACGGCTTCGTGCATTTTACGCACGTGAGAAACTTCAGCAAGAGTCTGAGCTTGACTCCTGAGAGCTGCTAGTGAGAGCGGCTCAGCGGCGCGGACCCATCTGCCGCAGACGCCCAGATCTGCCTCTGAGGCCCCACCACACTGCCAGGTTCGGCGTAAAAGTCCGACTTCCCAATTCCCAACTTCCCAGGAGTCGGCCCTGGAGTGGCGGATGTGGCTGAAGACAGGACCCTTGTTCTCTGAGAAACCAGGGGCGGGGGGCGAATCTCGGCTCCTGAGAGAGCATCCTGCAACCTTGTAACGTTCCCAGAACCCCATCCCCGGGGTCTCCGCCCACAGACACCTGACTCCCGGGGCGTGAGGGCCATTGTCCCGCTTTCCTTGTTTGAAGCGTCATCAAGAACCAGGAAGTCTAATGCTTTGTACAGAACAGCTCTGGGGACGGAAGGGCTTGGGGCACTCACCCTCTACCCTGCCCCTGAAACACAGCAGCCTTGCCCGCGGGGAGGAAATGGCCTCCCTGCGGCGGAAGAGCGGGGACTTACCACCTGCAAACCACCGTCCAGGTGAGGCCTGCCAGGCCGCCGACGAGCAGGGCACCCAGCGCCACGGAGACCCAGGACGCCTTGGGGAGCCTCCCGGAGTCTGAGGAGAAGGAGGGGGTTAGCGAGCCGGCCTGCCAAGCGTGCGGCCGGTGTGCCCTGGAGCCCGAGCCCACCCTGGTCCCGAGGGGGCCCGCCTCTGCTCGCGATGGCGTGGTGCACCTGGGGGCACAAATCTGCCCGAAGCTGCCATTTCCACAGACGGGCACCCCCCCGATGTGAGGTGCAGGGAGAGCTGGGGAGAGCGCGGGGGCGCCTGCCCTTTTCCGGGAAACAGGCCCTCCCGCCAGGACCGACAGGCAGAGACGCGTGAGCCCCGTGGAGAGGTGCTGGGGACCCCGCGTGCTCGTGCTGCGCTCACAGAGGGGCCGAGCGGGCAGGTGGGGGAGGTGCAATGTGACGCCACGAGCTCGAGCCCTCGGCGCCCCTTCTCGCAGAAGCAGGTGGAGGCTGAACTCGTTCCATGGTCGGAGCCCCGAGGGGGAGCCGTGGGGCCCCGACACAGCAGGCGCCCAGCTACGGGCTGGCCGTTCATTCTGCAAAGAAACTGAGCAGGGTTGATGGGTGCAGACCGGAAGGGGCCGTGGCTGGACGGGGGTGACGGGGGGGGGCCGCAAGGAGTCGCCGGGGACGTGCAGGGCTCGGTGACGGGACTCGGGAAGTGCCCGGCCCACACCTGACTTCCACCTCCCCATCCCAGAAGCGGCGAGAGAACAGGTGGCCTCTCCAGACCCGTCGCCTCCCGGGTCTCACCACCTGCCCAGGGCGCGGGCGTCTCTGCCCGTCCCCCGCCGGCTCCTGTGTGGGAGCAGGTCCTGTGCCTACGTGTGGGTCATCCCAGGTCTGCTGGGCTCAGTGCCGGCCAAGCAGACACACGGGACCTGTGACTCTTCGATCCCACTGAGTTTTCTAAAATGGCCAAGAACGGACTTCCCAGACGCATCCACCGCGGTCTGTGGCCTGTCACCCTGCGTCAAGCCAGCTCCTGTGTGGGAGGGGCCCCACCCCACCTGCCTGATGTCCACCCGGCCTCGCCACTGTCCCCGGCCTCAGCGCGGCTGCACGCAGATGGGCCTAAAGAGGTAACTGAGGTCGAACGAGGTTGTGAGGCCGGGCCCCAATCCCGTTGACGGGCGTCCTGTGAGGAAGGGACATCAGGACGCAGACAGCACAGGGAACCAGGTGAGGACGCGGGAGGAGATGCCACCCACGGGCCCGCCGGGGACGGCCCTGCCCACACCCGGATCCCCGACTCAGCCCCCAGGACGGGTGCCAGGTCTGCGGTCCGGCCCAGCCCGTGTGTGTTGGATGTCGGGGCCACCAGGCAAGCGAGCACAGGGCCCCGTCCCAGGGCTCCGAGCCAAGCAACCCCGGAGCTAGCTGAGCACGAATGGGCTGCGTGTGGCTGCCGCGGGGTCTCCTCTCACCTACCCTGATGCGGGGAAAGCCCGCACGCGCGTGTGGCCATTAACGATCGTGCACAAAACGCACCAACACAAGGGCCCTTTGCCCACGACGTGAGCGTGCCCGGTGGCCCAGCTTTCCCGTGGCACCTGGGGTCTCTCAGCCTGTACGTGGTCGTGGACACCAGTGGGCAGTGGGTGTGGCGCAGGGAGCGGGGGGTCGCGCCACGGGGAGGTGAGGGGGGGCCTCTGGTAGACGGGCGTCTGCACTCTGTCCCCACCCACCCAGGACGGGGTAGCAACGCCGAATGACCCAGGTGAGAGTCCGTCTTTCCCGACACCGGGCCCCCGCCTCACCGAACACGTGCGCCCGTGGGGTCCTCCCGCCTGAGAGCCCACCCTCTGGGACAGGATCGTTCGGAGAGGCTGGTTGGGGGGCGTCCGGAGCAGACAGCTCCTAGCGTGCTGGAGGCAGCCACAGCGGGTCACGTGGGCACACACACACATCCGGCCACGACAGCAGCGGGACGCGTCCCGTGGGCAGGGCCCAGGCCTGGTGCCCGCGCCACAGTAAGACCTGCCACGGTGCTCGTGGATGTGGCTGTCGGGGACGGAGATCCCTCGGGGTGGTGTGACGGGGGTGTCTCCCGTGGGGGGCCCCTCTCGCCTTGAAAGCGGGGCGCCGGGGCCCCAGAGCGCAGGGACTGGATTTTCCCCGCACCCGCCCCTGACGCCCTCCAGCAGCTGACGCCCCGCCTGCCGCTTCCGGGCCCGCTGAGGCTCCCCGGCGGGACGACGCGGTCGGCCCGGCACGTGTGACCAGCGCTCTGCACGGGCGGCGTGTGGGGGCGGGACTGACTCCTGTCCAGGGGGCCCTTCGAGTCACAGCTTCTCAGAACCGTCCACGGGGCCTCGACCCGCCCGCCCGCACTCAGCCGGCCCTCATGACCGGAAACCGTGAGCGCGCCCGCCGCTCTCAGCGAACACACGGGCGCCAGGATGGGCGTCTTGGTCCCAAAGCTGGCCGGGCCGGCTCCCTGCACATCCCTGTCCCTCGTCCCTCGCGTCCACCTCTGGTCGCAACACCCACGTCCTGCCGCCACCTCGGCCTGGCCCACGGCAGCCGTCTCCTGCGGCGCAGGTGTGAGGAGGCGTCCCGCCCTCCGACGCAGGGACATAAGGGGACAAGGGCCTGCTCCGCGTTGCTCTCACCGCCTCTCCTGTGCCCCCTCCTCCCAATCATCCCCACTGGCTTGCCCCAGGGCCTTGGCACCTGCAGTGCTTTTCCACCCCTCACCTCCGCCTGCGCCCCGCTGTGACAGAGACGCTCCCTGAACCCCTGGGCAGGGGGCCGGTGTCCTCACGGACATACCTGCACGTCACGTGCCCCTTTGTGGCACTTACCACGAGGGCGGGCTCTACGCGGCTTGTGAGACTGTGGGTTCGCGCCTTGCTCCCCTACAGGACTCTGACCCCTCACAAGCCGGGGACGTCAGGGTCCCGCCACCCCTGCGCCTCGTGTGGGCGCCCGGGCGGTGCCTGCTGCATGCATTCGGGGACAAGGGTGCCGCCTGGAGTCTGTCTGGAGCGAGGGGCCCCTCCCGCCCCCCACACTCGCTGCTTCTGCAGGAATCCCCCAGCCTGACCACGCCCTCCGGCTGCTTCCCCTCCCCCACAGCCCGCGCTGTGTGGCCGGCTTCGGGTCTCCGGCTGCCCTGGCGTGTTTGCAGTTGGGCTCCGTCGGCCTGGTGCCCCACCCCCACCCGAACAAAATCTGTCCCTGCAGATTCTCCTTCACGGGGGCGAGGAGCCAAGTTAGGAACCTGGATCTGCAACCGAGTGGCTGTGTGACCCCCAGCAAGTCACTGGACCTCTCTGTTCCGTACTGAGAATGAAACGTGGTGCCAGCCTCACAGCGGAAGCTCCCGGGAGAGGAGGGACGGTGCCCCCACACTGGAGAGGACAGGAAGGTGTCCCCAGTGCCAGAGAGGACGGGGCGGTGCCCCCACGCTACCTCGCCCTTCACAAGGCCCCACCCCAAGCTGGGGTCGGAACTGGCTGGTCCCCGCTCCCACCCAGAGTCACGGACGCGGCACAGGGAGCACACACAGGACGTCACGGGACACGCATCTAGGAGGATGACCCTGCGGGCTTCTGGAAGGCGCACTGCAGACGCGCTCAGGACGCAGGCGGAGGGTGGACTCACCCACGCACGTCGTTCCGTCCTCCCCCAGCACGTACGGGTCTGTGCACTCACACCGGAAGCTGCCCTTGGTGTTCCGGCACCGGGCCGACGGGTGGCAGGGGGGCTGTGCCACGTCTTCACACTCGTTCACGTCTGCACAAAGCACACGGAGGTCAGGCGCCGTCTCCTCCCCCGGCTCCCTGTGGCGTCCCCTCCCCAGCTCCGGTCCTCACCCTGGGCGCAGTGCAGGCCCCCCAGACTGCTGTCTAGAGAATACGAGAACCCCCAGTGCCCTGTGGGGCCTGTCCCTCTCGGGGGAGCCTCTGTGGGAGCACCTGCTCTCTTCTCGTCGGCCTGTGAGGTCAGCTCAAGAGCCGGTCGGCCACTCTGTGACCACGCTGCCCAGCACGACCAGGCCGTGTGGTGGGCGTGCGGGGCGGGGTTGCTCCTGACACGGAGGTCGAGGGTGCGGGCTCCCCCCAGCTGGGCTCTTCCCACGTGTAAACGGGTGTAATTATGCACATCCGAGGGGCCAGGGGTCAGGGCTGCGGTGCGTCTCGAGGGACATGTTTACCCAGGTTGGGGACCCGCACCTTCTGCTCCCCCTGCCCCGGGGAAGCCACGGAACGCGTGGGACAGACCCACACTGGTCTCAGGCTTGCCTAGTCCTAGATTCCTGGACCGTTACCTGCCCAGGTGCGTCTCCCCTTCCCGAGCTCAGGGTGCTGACCCGGGGCTCCCTGTCCAGTAGACACAGGAGCCACGGTTTGTATTCATGGATCACACACCCTCTGGGCAACAACAGAGCAAAGGGCCACAGACACCCCGCGTTTTATCCACTTTGATTCCCGACTTTGAAGCCCTCATAAGAGCCTCATTGCAGTTAATTTCTAGGTTCGCTTTTTCCACCAGCCTTTCGTGTGGATGGGCTGGTGGAAAAGTAGGGCTGAGTGACGAGGAGAGTGCGTGTCTCGTCTGACCTGGGCACCGCATCCTCAGGAAAGCCTTTCTTTCCTCCCTGCAGCCGTGGCCGCCGTGGTTCACCGAGGACAGAGGTGGCTCTGACGTTCACATCAGTTCACCCCACGAGGAAAAGCACTCTCTGCACTGTGTTCAAAGGCTGTTTTTCCTTGACTTAGAAACTCACAGTGCAGGGCACAGATCAAGTGAAAAACACCACGTACAGAAATAGCACATTTATACCACTGGCTGCACCGCGTTGAGTTTTCCAGAATTTGTTTAAAGATATTATATCTTAATCGTTAATGCAGGAGGACAAAACACAGGTCGTGTAAATAAAAGGTTAACACCCTCTCCTTCCTCGCCCGGTCTCACTGTGCCAAGTTTGAAACCGAGATTAATGAGTCGTCGTCTTCACGAAGGCACTGGAAGTATTTACAAACAGGCTCCTCTCGCCCCAAGCGGGGTCCCACTGTGCAGCTGCTCCGTGATGTGCATCTCACCTGGTGAATCTGTGGACAGTATCTCACGTCAGTGGACACACTGCTAATTTATTCAGCACGAGAGTTCCCGGTGTGGATGCACCAAAATCCAACCCACTGGCTCTGGACTCGTATGTTGGTAACGCTGGGCATCTGCCTGTGCTTTTGCTGTGCCTGTGACTAACCAGAACGGATAAGCCACGGACACGGATGACCCCCCTCGGTCAGGTCGCCTCTGCAAACGCGGAGTCACAGAAGCCCTTGGTTTGGGGGCAGATGACAAAGCTACTGAGGTGGCCCAGGCAGGGTGAGCGGGGGCGCAGGCCAGCGGGGGGCAGGATCATTAGACTGGGAGCAGGCTTCTCAGAGCTGCCCCGCCCGACAGGGTCTTGGTATCCGGGCAGGTAGGTCCAGACTCGGGAGCTCTGGGCGCCCAGGGTGGGGACCGTGAGCCAGGAATTGTGTCCACGCGGCGGGCCACGCCCCCCGAAGGCTGCCGGATTCACCCCACCAGGGTTCAGAACCGAGTGACGTTCACTGCTAGTGGTCAGCACGAGCCAGGCATGCGCCGGGCAGACGGCTGATTAAGGAAGAAGAAACACCCGATGGGTGTGAGACGGGACGTCAGGAATAGAGCTCTGGGGTCACGAGGGCTAAAATCCGCCTGAATCCACATGTAAAACGTCTAGGTATTTAGGCAAAGTGGGTGTAACCCACGGCACCGTGGGTTCCTGTGAACCTCGAGGGCAAAGCTCTGGCTTCCCCCGACCATGTCGGATGAGGCGCGGGGTGTCCACCAGCCTCGCCGCTCACGTCCTGCTCGTGCAAATCTGGGCACGGGGGTTTTCCAGTCCAGCCCTGGGCCTGGCGATACGCTCCCCCGAGCCGGCAGGGTTTCACCTGGCTGCTCCTGTTCTGGCCACTGCTCCTCAGGGCTCTCCCTGGACACGACTCTGGGGCCAGCCACCGGGCCCCTCCGGGGACCCCGACCCCTCCCAGACCCCGGCCCTCGCCAAGCAGGTGCACAGGACCGCACTGCAGCCCGGCCTTGGTGCTCACGGTCTCCGTCAGTCTCTCTTGTGTGACCACCGCAGCCCTTCGGGACAAGACACCGCCGGCCTCCGAGACCGGAACCGCATCTTCGTCACCGAGGCAAAACGTCCGCAACGTGAACCACTTCTAGCTGAGCATTTCCGTGGCCGTAAGCTCGCTCTCGCGGCCTCCATCCACCTCCAGAATGCTTTCCTCTTCCTGAACTGAAACTCCTGCGTGGCTGCACCCCTGTGCCCGCTGGGCCGTCAGCAGCTCCTAACAAGCAGCCCGCGTGCGGCTCCCTGCCTGTCGCCGGGCTCCTCCCAGGGGCAGTCGTGGCCAAGGTCGTGGGCCGATGAGCGGAGCCTGCGTGCCTCCAGCATCGCTTCCCCGGCTGCCGCGGCCCGGTGGGGTGCACGCACGGTTTGTGGGTCACTTCTCGGTCAGCGGGCCTGCGGTCACCAGGAGTCCCCGGCCTCAGGGACCCACACACAGGCATCCGCTGCAGACGGCCATTCTGCCCGCTCCTCCGCAGGGCCGCTCGGGACCCTCACCTGCGCTCGCGCCCCTCCCCCTGCACCACTGCCAGCAGCCAGGCTGGACGAACGGATGGGAGGTGACCTGGGGGCACCCACATGCCCAGGTGCGCAAGCCGGGCGACAAGTGTGTCCCAGGGCTTTCCGAGAGGAAGCACCTCCCTCCTTCAAGTTTCACTCGAGAATGTGGCTCTAGAACCTTCTCCTGTGAGTCACTGACTTGTCCCTAATACCTGCGTGCCGACGTGACGGTCGTGACGCATCTAGAAAGCGGTCCACGAGGGCACCCCCACCCAGGAGACGCTTTATTTCCCCGCCACCTGGGAGGGTCGTTACGCTCAGAGGCGCCTTTTCAGGAGCCACACTTGCGCTTACTCCCAGTCTGATGGGCACGGATTTGGGGGTGAAGCGGGGGCTGAGGAGCACTGACCTCTGCACACGGGGGGCTGGAAGCGCCCGCCCCGGGGGGAGCAGGCCACCTGCTCCGGGCCGTGCAGCCGAAACCCGTGGTGGCAGGAAAACACCAGCACGCGCCGCCCGGGCTCGCCGCACGGCGCCCAGTCCCCGTTGTCCACTCCGCCCTGGAGGCCACACGCGTCACCTGCACAAGGACGGAAGGCGGGTGCCCTCAGCGCTCACTGCCGGCTCCGCCCCGCCTCTGCCCGCCACTCGGACCCCACGTCCCGCTGGTTGGTCCAGCCGCGCACGACCAGGAGCACTGGCTTCAGAGCCAAGCCCACCCGCCTCAGGACGCCGGCTCTGGGCCAGGTCCCCCCCGCCCCAGGCTCTGCTGCCCCCCGACACGCTGCTCCCTGGTCACCAGACACAGCGATGGCGTCCAGGACGCTGTGCCCGCACCTTCCTCCTGCATCAACCCCTCCCTGGGAGGCCTACCCAGCCTTCCTGCCCCCTGGCGCCTCTCAGGGCTCTCACCTCCTGCCTCCTTCTCACTCCCTCACCCCCCTGACCCCCCTCACCTCCCGCCTTCCAGCCAGAGACATTTCTGCCACAGCCCAGCGGGCCGTGCAGCTTCTTGGCACCGGGCAGAGCTCTGCAGACGGCACCACTGAGGCCCAGCGGACACCTGTGCCCCCGAGGCCCATGCGCTCACCTGTCCGCCTGCCCACCCCGACTCGAGGGTCCCATGTGCAGCTCACGTGTGGGGCGCCCGCCTCCCCCGTCCTTGCAAATAATGCATGTGCCACGACAGAAGTTAAGAAGGGCTTCACGTCACCTTGAGGAAGGACCTCCCTCCACGCGTCCAGGTTCAGGCCTGGAATGTTCTCGCACGACTCAAAGTCCCTCGGGAATCTTCCGACCAGGAAGGCGTCAGGGGGCACGCTGGGGAGACCCGTGTTGTCACAGATGACCCGGGACAGGGAATGCCTGGCCAGCTGGCGCCGCTGGGCCTCCGTGAACACCCCGCTGCTCTCCCACCAGAACCTGCGTGAGAGGAGAGGGCCTGGGACCGGGCGGCCGTTGCGGTCCGCATGCTTCCAGACTTCTCACGCCCACCATGCCGGGCCCAGAACCAGGACCCTCAGGGTCCTCACGGGGCCCGGGCCGAGGCTGAGCCTTCAGAGGGCGCCCTCGCAGGCCTGGGCCTCAGGCCCGGGTTAGCGTCCGTCTGCCCCACTGGGCAGACCTGTCAGAGAACACCCCACAGCGGGCTTCTGGCGCCAGAAACACGCGCTCTCCACGCGACACCTGCTCACAGGTGAGGCCGGGCGGTTGGGACGCATCCGCAGCAGCTCACAGGGTGCTGGCCTGCATGAGCCCCATCTGGGGTGACCTGGGGTCGCCTCCCGCACGAGGGCCCGGTCGGGTGCACCCACCGGTCTCCGTCCCTCAGGGCCTTCATCTGTCTCCCGATGAGGCAGGCGAACAGCGGCCCCGTGCGCGCCCGGGGGAGGAAGGTCTCCGCCAAGCCGCCCAGCCAGACGTCGATGTTGTCCGGGTGACCATACAGGTCCATCATCCGGCCCGCGATGCTGGCGTTGGCAGTGGCCGTGCGCAGGTGGGCGCGGGTCTCCAGTGCGGGCAGGCCGCAGAACCGCCTCCACGCGTTGTAGCCTGCAGGGGGAGGGGCTGTAGCGTCTGCCCCGCCTGCCTCACCGCAGCCACGGCTCGCCGGTCCCGTCTAGGACGCCTGGCTACAGAGAACCCGCCCACTACCCGACATGCCGGAATGTTCCGGCACCGACGTCGGGGCCTTCCTGGAGGGCTAGTTCATAAACCCAGTGGGAGGCACAACAATGCCAGACCCCAGACGCCACATTTTACCGTGATCATAACTCACCTCCCGGGCCTTTGAGGGGGAGGTAAGAGGGGACACGTGTGGGGGGCTCTGAGCAGGCAGGCCTGGTTTCCCACGGCCGGTCTGTGAGTCCCCAACACACGCAGAGAGGGGACACGTGAGGCGTGGCCCCTGACCTGGAGGGGCTCCCCAGGCACCAGGGGAGGCGTGTCTACACACAGAGACTGGGTGGCAGGCGGCAGGGGCCTCGCGTGGTTACCAAAAGCTGGCCAGACAGCCCAACTATGGGCACCCCAGAGGAAAGGCCATGGAGGGCATCCCAGAGGGTCTCAGGGCTGGGGCAGCGAGGGTTGGGACAGGTAAGGGTGATGGGGCCTGAGTGGGCACGGCAGGTGGGGGTGGGGAGCTAAGAGCCTCCCGGGAAGAGGGTTCCCACCCACACAGTGGCCAGGGAATCAGACTGCTGGGGTGAGACGGCCTGGAGGCAGCAGAAGGCTGTGTGCTGATTGGGACGGTGACAGGGAGGGGCGGGCAGGGCAGCCGCCTCTGACTCCCCCGGAGCTGTGCCTCGTGTGGGCTGCTGGGAGGCCAGACCATCTCCCTTTTCCTCTTTTTAAACCCCCTGCTCCTGCCCCACTGGGAGGCCCCGGACACCCTGCGGGCCTTCCTCTGAGCAAGCTGAATGAGCTCCCAGTGGATGAACGAGGGTGCTTGGAAAGCCCATTTCTTAGAGACTGAACAAAGGTTGGCGATGCATTTACTTCTGAGAAGACAGGCCCAGGTGGGAGGTGAGCCAGGGAGGAGCCCGGGGAAGTGAGTCTGGGGAGGTGAGCCCAAGGAGGAGCCCGGGGAAGAGCCCAAGGAGAGTCTGGGGAGCAGCCTGGGGAAGTGAGCCCAAGGAGGAGCCCGGGGAGGAGCCCAACGAGGAGCCTGGGGAGAAGCCGGGAGCAGGCAGACCTGGCAGGCCGTGGTCCCGGCCCCGCTGCAGGTTGATGGACGCCAGGTCCAGCATGCCCGAGCTCCCCAGCACGAACAGCCTCTCTGTCAGCTCCTCGTTCATCAGCTGGTTCTGTACCTGCAGCTTGGCTGGTCTCGAGAGAAGGCCCCTCACGAGGGGGTCCAAACCGCCTGGAAAATATCACGGAAGAGGCCAAGATTGTCTCATGAGTCCTGGGAAAAACCACAGCATCTCCGATGGCCAGCTCTGCTTGTTCTTAATGGATGAGCCCTTCAGGTTCTCGAATTCCCTTCACGTGACTCCGAGGGCTTCCCAGTACTGCTTGGGTTCTGCCGTGTGGGTGGGTCGGCACCTGGCCGGGCCCCCTAGGGGACTGACTGGTGAGCGTAGGGGGCAGGCTGCAGGCCCAAAGGGGACCCAGAGAAGGAACCGGCAGTCCTGACGTTCTCACCTTGTGCACCAGTGAGGACGGTGTTACTTGTAACGAACGTGTGCTAACGAGGTTTCTACACGAGCTTTGAAACACTAGGTGGAGGGGGGCTGCACCTCAGGTGGCCACCCTGTGGACTCTGAAGAGCTTCAGAATCCGGGAGGAGGTTTTCTGATGAGCAGTCGAGCCTTTAAAAAGCTTCGAGGTGTTGACTTTCCCTGTAAAGGCCGATAACCACACAGAATTCGGCCAAATGTGCTGGGAGCGGAAAGCCTGCCGTCACCACGGGTTTGTGGGCGCTTGTGCCGGGGAGCCTGCAGGAGGGGGCGCACCTTCCTTGAGGACCCTCCAGGGGCTGAAGAAGGCGTCCTGCAGCCGCAGCGGGGGGAGCGCGGGGTGCTCCCGGAAGCTGGCGTCCAGCCGCCGCACCAGCGGGTGCACCGTGGCGTGGCCGAAGCGGAAGGCGGCCGTGGAAAACACGTTGGACACGGTGGGGTCCACGGTGGGGTCATAGCCCTCATAGGGGCCCACGTGCTGCTGGAAGGCCTCGGGGCCCAGGACTTTGGGGATGTAGTCTCGCATGGTGATGATCTACGGAGAAGGGGAAACAGGAGTTTCTGAGCGGGGCGCCTCCAGCAGGGCCCGGGGGCCAGACCGGGGCCACGTCCAGAGACAGGGGAGGACTTCCTCCTGCACATGCCCGGGGGCAGAGGCGTTCCAGGAGGGACGTGCCATCCAGGCAAGGGAACAGGTAACCAGCTGAACGGATGCGAGTAGCGACCTCACAGCTCTGGCATTTACGGGACGGGGCGCGTGTCAGCGACACGCCCAGACACCCCGCAGGGAAGGCCACACAAAACGTGGCTGCACACCACGCAGACACCGGGGCTGTGGCACTGCACCGCGCTTCACCCGTGGGCACTCCGGCGACGCCTGAACTCAGAGCGCAAGTCAGAAGTCCAGGCGTTTTGGGGAACCTGAGACCAGAGGCTCAGGATTCAGAGCCGGGAGTTCAAATCCCACCTCCTCCTTCTTAGTTGCGCTACTCTGGGAGGGCTGGGGCCTCTCTGGACCAACTTCCTTATCTGGAGAACCTCTTTTGTGGAGTTTCCGTGAGAGCAGGAAACAGCCGTGGTTTTCTGTGCTGGGTGTGCGGTGTGGTGTCCACGTGGCAGACATGTTACTTACAGAGAGGGTCCGGGGCGCTGCTGGACTCCCCACCCGGAAGCAGGAAGGAAATGGCGCGCAAGCCGAGGGCTACGTGGGATTGAAGGGTCCTCGCCGGTTAAAATTAGGCCCAGAGAAACACCCTGTCACTCCTTCCCCCCCTGAATTGTGTCTGTCAGGTGGTTAGTTCGTTGTAACAGAAGCTCGAAGGCAAGGGGCCGGCAGGGGTCCCCACAGGAGCCGAACCTGCGTGTGGGTTTTGTAAATGAGGCCTCGTCCTAATTTGGTCCCAACCTGGAAGATGCATCGCTCTGTCTGAGGGGACAGGACTGACGCGGCCTGTGACCCTCCCCAGGTGCCCTTCAGGATCACGGGACCCAGCAGAGAGACAGGTGCAGCCCCCTGACTGGACCAGGTCTCAGCTCGCCCTGCCCTGCAGTAAGGCCTCAAAGTGACTTCTCCACAAGGTTTTTGTTTGTTCTACACCTGTGGATTCCCCTCGTGGGAGCCCCTTCCTTGACCTGGGGCAGGGGACACGCCCCCGCCGCTGCACAGGGCTGTCTGTCCGGGGGGCTGAGGGGCCCCCAGGACGCAGCCCATGCCCCTGCAAGGGTTTTACCAACTCTTTCAATGCAACCTATCGTTATTTTAAGGTTTCCAAGGCATTTGCAAAAACCCCGAAGAGAAGCTATTGACCAAAGAAAACACAGAAGGGAATTTGAAAGTGAAATGTGAGCCTCAGAAATGTTGTAAAGTTCTGGGCAGCCGCAAGGAGGGGCTCCGGGGTGATGGGCGGGGCTCTGCTTCGTTCTTGCCCTGGGACCTGGACCCCTGCTCACAGGGACAGCTGGGAAACACACCGTCTGTCCCCGCAGAGCGTGCGTTCGGGGAAGGGGCACAGACACGACACGACACAGAAAATAAGGGGACATGCGCCATGGCAGAGCAGGGGGCGGGACGCCCCCGACGGGACCCTGTCTGAGAACCGATGGGCCTGCATCGGAGGCCACTTTGTTCAAGGTCAGAGCGTGTCTGACGGGCTGTTTGACTTTGCCATAAGACGGTGGCGGGTTTCAGGGTCACATTACATTGCCGTCCTCCAAATCTGCCTAAACGCCCCTTCACAGGCCCTACGTGGTTATCACTTCTTTTATTTCGCCGACCGCGTGTTCCCCTCTGTGAATCGTGAATGTGACTCAGAGGTGAGCTCCCCTCCACCGCCTGCGGGTCCATGTAACCGTGGGCATCAGGTTCCCACGACCGGCTCCACCCTCCAGCACCACCCCCACAGCACTGGGCTCCCGCGCTCTTACCCCGCCCCTGCACCAGGGGGCTTCCGCCCTCTACACCCCACCCCTCCCCGCACCCACGGGGGCTCCCCCCTCCCCGGCTTACCTGGCAGCTCAGCCTCTGCACCAGACTCTACTCCTGAACCTCGGGGCTCCCGTGCTCCCCGCCTCCCGCCCAGCTTCCGTCGCTCACGCTAGCACAGGGCGTCCCAGCCTCCCGCCCAGCTCCCGTCGCTCACGCTAGCACAGGGTGTCCCAGTGACCTCTCACACCTGGTGCAAGGCGCCCACCACCTTGCGCGCCTCCTGGTAGGCGGTGTTCGCGCTCCAGTGCGCGTTGAGGGCCTTGAGCGCCACGGCCAGGCGGTTGTGCTCCCGCAGCCACAGTGTGTGCAAGGCCGTCAGGGCGGGGACCTCGCTGGCACGGCCGTCCCCGGCCAGGAAGCAAGGCGCCTGGGCCGTCCCGCGGGTGCCGGGCTCGGGCGCGCAGCCCGTGGGCCCAGGTGGCCGCGCGAAGGGCAGGTAGGCGCGGCCGGCGTCCCAGTGGCGCGTGTTGACCCGGAGCAGCCCCTCCGCACTGGTCCAGTTGCGCAGCTGCTTCTCCAAGGCCGGGGAGCTGCCATATACGGTGGACGCGTCCAGGAAAGAGGTCAGCCCGTTCATCTGCTGTCGCGGGTTCGCCGAGGTCAGGTTGCCAAAGAAGGCGCCTTGGATACCCGTGCCACAGGCCGCGGAGGAGCGGTAAAATGGCAAACAGGACCGGCCTGAGGTCCCCGAGCCGTTGGTGGGTAGCTGCCGGGAAAGGGGAGACCGGGTCACTGGGCCTCTGCAGACACCCTGAAAGCTCTAGGCAGGCCGGGACCCTAGGACACCGGTGCCGCTGTCTGCCCCGCCCACTTCTGTCTCCTGCCCCGCCCACTTGTCCCCCTCCAGCTCCCCCTTCCTGCCAGGGTCAGGACATTCGGAGGAGGCTGGAGTTTCCTTAGCTGTGATTGGTGCAGGCCCCATGGTGCCCTTTCACCCCTTCTCCACAATCTTTCCTTTTGGTCTGTTTTGTTTAGATGCCTGGCCTGTTGGGGCCTCCTCTGCAGACGCCCGAAGGGTCCTAACTTCTGGTTCTCTTATCGGGACCTCCCACCAAGCTCGGGCACAGCGTGACCCAGAGTGGCTGCTCCAGGAAGGTGTGTGGTACCTAGGGGACACGGCCCAGACAGTCTGCTTTTGGGTAGAAAGTGCTCCCCCTACCCCCGACCTTTGAGGATGTTTTCCAAAGAGAAGCGATTAAACCCTTACCTGCACTGTCTCTTCCCTTGCTAGTAAGAGAGGAAATTAGCACAATATTTACAGAGACCAGATTTGCAGTGTCTGTGGGCGCATTCTGTGCTCCCCCAGCTCTGCACCGTTAGCCCTGCCGATGTGCCCGCTAGGTGTGCATGCGTGCCCCAGGCTCTATGTCCAGGTGTGCGCCCGCTTTGTTATTTGCGACAGCATTTTAAAACAACAAAGCTTAAAACCACCTAAATGCTCATGAAGAAGCTAATCGTTAGTAAGTTATGACGCGTACTGCAGGACTGTCGAAGTCTTAAAACAATCACGTTTCTGTCCACTTAATGACACGGGGAGAACTATAACTACTGCTCGGAGACCCACACCAAGTTGGGAGCAACGCACGTAGTGCGACACATGAGCTGTGCGTGAGGCTCCTGTACGCACATAAGGACACCTTATGTACATACATGCACAGGCAATTTCTGGCCGCATCCATAGGTTTTGACCTTTCATTTTACACATCTGTTTGATTTTTTAAATGACATCTATTACTTTTGTAACCAATGTGAAGAAGTTTAAATTTGTACCTGTATGGGAAAACACGGGTCTTGGTTTTTGCAGGTCAACTGGCAATCAGCTTCTCCCTCAGATGCAACTTTCCTGGTGCTCTGAGGGGTGAATGCGATGTCGTGATCAATATATTGGCCCCACACCATCAGGAGATCAGAATATTGGTCATCTTCCGTGACGGCCTCATTGGAAACTCGAATAACTTGCCTTGTCACCTCCCGGACCTGGGTGAAAGAGACCAGCTTGTCATGTGGGAAGGCCATCGGCAGAGAAAGAGGACACTGGGGGACCCTGAGGGTCGTAGGGCCGTGCTCGTTCACAGGACAGGAGGCTGCGCCCATTCACGGATGGCTGGCGCTCAGAAGTTCGAGTCTGTGGCATTAGGGTGGGTGGACACATCCAGGCTGCCTTCAGCATAATGCATTGGTTTGTGGTGATTGCGGGGCCTTAGTTAACTGCCCTGAGTCTTAGTTTCATTATCTGTATGTGAGTATGAAATGTTGATATTTCAGGATCATTGTGGGGATTAAATTAGGTAATTTATTACACATCTAGCCATTGGTGTGACAGAGGTCATGACTCAGAGGACAGGGCCACGGAGGGCTGTTCCCCAGGCCTTGACACCTTTGTGGCTGTGATTACTATAAGGACCTCAAGACAGGGGGCTACCCTGGGTTTCCAAGTGGATCCCATGCAATCACATGGTTCTTAAAATCGGAGAGCTTCTCCTGACTGTAGGCAGAGGGGATGCAGCTTTGGGGGGGCAAGAGCCAAGGAGGCAGTGTCCCTGGAAGCCAGGGGGCCAAGAAGCAGACCCCAGCCTCCAGGTGGAACGAAGCCCAGCCCACACCTGGATTGGAGGCCAGTGAGACCCATGTCAGACTTCTGGTAACTTTGCGTAGTTTAAGCCACTAAAATTGTGCTAACTTGTTACAGCAGCAGCAGGAAACTAATACATCCCATTAAAGGTACCTGAGCTCTGACCTGAGTAGCTGTGTAATTCTGGCGGGGTTGCCCTTAACACTGAGAGTTCAGAAAGCCTCACGGCTCCGACAGGTCTGGCAGCTAGTGTAGGACAGGAAAGGTGTTATTACCTCATTACCCAGGCAGCTGAATGGAGGCTGCAAGTGACCTGCAGAAAAGTACGGGTTAGCACACCCAGAGGGGCCTGTGCCAACCGCAGGGAGCCCACGGTGCGGCTCTGACACCAGGCGGCTCCTGTCCTCCTGCCTGTCAGCCAACGGAAGACCTCCCAGGGAAGCTGTTGGTTTCCGTAGGGGAGCCTGGGGACGGGGTGGCGGTCCCCAAGCTGGCGTGGTCAGATCCTGACTTCTCACACTGAACAGGGCGTCCCTTTTATGTTTCTGGAGAATTCCACTGTCACATACAGGACGGGACCAAGCAGACTGGTTTGTTCATGGAAGCAAGTAGTCAAATGGAGGGTCAAATATCCATTTTTTTAACCAAATTGATCAGTGGATTGGGTATGAGTTTGCTTAGCAAATAATTTGCCTCTGGGAGTGAAGCGGCAACCATCCATGGTTTTGCATGAATGAATGAATTACGTAACTTTAAGAATCTTTGAATACACCTCCTCCTCTGCCCATGCATAGAGGATTTCTTTCAAATACTGAAATGAGGTGACGAGCAGAGAGTTAGAGGAACTTTAACTTAAATCTGCCTTGTTGTGCTCCCTGGCTGGTGACTGGGGTCTCTCTGTGCCCTGGAGCACAGGGGTCATGAGGGTGGACGGGGACTCTCCGAGCCCACTGCCCTGAGCAGGCTGGCTTCCTCCGAGGTGGCGGGTGGCCGGGGAGCATCGTGGGGACACAGCGCTGTGAGCTACGTACGGGGGGCAGTGGAAAGCCGTTGTACAGGACGTGGGGGTTCCACCCCCTGGCCTCGCTGATGCCGTCTTCATAGGCGGGGGGCAGCCACCTGGCCAGGGCTGTGTTGGAGGCTCCCCACCTGGGATGGTCTCTGCAGAAACAAATGTGAGGCTTCCAATCATGAGATAGCCTACATCTGGGGACAAGTGATAGATGAATTAGAATGGAAACACTGGTTCAAAGAGCAAAAGGAAATGGGAATTTTCTGCTACAGAAAAATCTGTTTTTTTTTTTTTAACGGCTAATTTGGGTATAAAATTGTTCATGCTCCCTTGGCATTTACCAACCAAATCCACGTGGGGTCACTCGGCATCTGGGGCGGCCCTGTGGTGCTCTCTGCAAGAGAAATGAGCAAGGTGGCCATTTGAAGGCAGTAGGCAAGCGTCTGGCTCAGGAGGTCACACGGCAGAAGGACCTGAGTGGGCAAACATTGGGATCTAGACTTCAACGACCCTTTCGTGCATCTGATGTGTAGGCACTTGGAGCACCTAAGTAGCAAAGTCTAAGAGACTCGTGACACGCTGAGTGGTTTTTTTAGTTTGTGGAGTGTTTAGAAATAGACGTATTTAAAAATTAGTTGTGTTCTGACACAATTATCATTATTAAGGACATCATGTATGTGGATCATTCTGACATAAGTGTGACTGATTCCGATGCTCTAAGAGGGAAGAGAACCGGGAGCTCCTGCGAGTGGTTTCTGATCTGGGCAATGGAGTCAGCACATTAGAAGGACAGACTGAACACAGCTTCTCCTGATGGTGCCACATGGCTCCTGACTTAGGGAAAAGGGTTTTATTGCATCCATCGCATCTCGGCTGCCTTCCCCGGGAACCCTCGGGAGCACCTAGCAGGAGGCGGGATGGGCACTTTTGTGTGTCTGCAGGGACAGTGGGTGGGGATAATTTGATTATCAGTCCTTCGTTGATCTCCAGCACACTGGAGTGGTTCAATTTGCAGAGCGACACGGGACAGCAATGCGTTTAATTAGCTGCCATGAGTCAGCGTGGGGAGATTGGTGTGCGCTCCAATAAGGTGTCAGATTTGTTATAGTTGGTTTCTCTTTACTGGAATCCCATGAAGAATGGCTTGGAGGGGTGCTCTTTCAATCAGTTACAAATGAGATTTTTTTTTTTTTATAATTTATTGTCAAATTGGTTTCCATACAATACCCAGTGCTCATCCCAACAGGTGCCCTCCTCAGTGCCCATCACCCACTTTCCCCTCTCCCCCAGCCCCCATCAACCCTTGGTTTATTCTCAGTATTTAAGAGTCTCTTATGGTTTGCCTCCTTCCCTCTCTGTAACTTTTTCCCCCCTTCCCCTCCCCACTGTTAAGTTTCTCAGGATCTGCATATGAGTGAAAACATGTGATATCTGTCTTTCTCTGCCTGATTTATTTCACTTAGCATAAGACCCTCCGGTTCCATCCACATTGCTACAAATGGCCAGATTTCATTCTTTCTCATTGCCAAGTAGTATTCCATTGTGTATATAAACCACATCTTCTTTATCCATTCGTCAGTTGATGGACATTTAGGCTTTTTCCATACTTTGGCTATGGTTGAAAGTGCCACTATAAACAATGGGGTACAAGTGCCCCTCTGCATCAGCACTCCTGTGTCCCTTGGGTAAATTCCTAGCAGTGCTATTGCTGGGTCATAGGGTAGTTCTATTTTTAATTTTTTGAGGAAACTCCACACTGTTTTCCAGAGCGGCTGCACCAGTTTGCATTCCCATCAACAGTGCACGAGGGTTCCTGTTTCTCCACATCCTCGCTAGAATCTACAGTCTCCTGACTTGTTCATTTTAGCCACTCTCACCGGCATGAGGTGGTATCTCAGTGTGGCTTTGATTTGTATTTCCCTGATGAGGAATGACGTTGAGTATCTTTTCGTGCGCCTGTTGGTCAAATCCTAAAATCTGTATGGAACCACAAAAGACCCCAAATAGCCAAAGTAATATTGAGGAAGAAAACCAAAGCGGGAGGCATCATGATCCCAGACTTTGGCCTCTACTACAAAGCTGTAATCATCAAGACAGCGTGGTATTGGCACAAAAACAGACACATAGACCAATGGAATAGAGACTCCAGAATTGGACCCACAAAAGTATGGCCAACTAATCTTCGACAAAGCAGGAAAGAATATCCAATGGAAAAAAGATGATCTCTTTAACAAATGGTGCTGGGAGAACTGGACAGCAACATGCAGAAGAATGAAACTAGAACACTTTCTTACACCATTCAAAAAAATAAACTCAAAATGGATAAAGGACCTGAATGTGAGACAGGAAACCATCAGAACCCTAGAGCAGAAAGCAGGAAAAAACCTCTCTGACCTCAGCCGCAGCAATTTCTTATTTGACACATCCTCAAAGGCACAGGAATTAAAAGCAAAAATGAACTATTGGGACCTCATGAAGATAAAAAGCTTCTGCACTGCAAAGGAAACAATCAACAAAACTAAAAGGCAACCAACAGAATGGGAAAAGATATTTGCAAATGGCATATTGGACAAAGGGCTAGTATCCACAATCTATAAAGAACTCACCAAACTTCCACCCGAAAAACAAATAACCCAGCAAAGCAACGGGCAGAAAGAAGATGTGAATGAGACGTTAACTGCTTAGGCTGCGATGTTTGTGCCGAGTGACTTTTCTATTTCAGTAGCTTGTGGGCTATCACGACCGCCCAGGGGCACTCATGTGCCTTTGTGGACACTCAGCAAGGGTGTGCACTTGACCTGCACACCCCATGTGGCCTGGTGCCCTGCCGGCCGGCCTGGAAGCATGACCATCTCGGCCTGCAGTGCGGGGGCCCCTGCTGGAGCTCCCCGATCGGCGGCAGCAAAGACCCGTGAGCGTGAGAGACGGGCCGTGGAGGGGGCACGACTGAACCCTCCCGGAGGAACAGGCTTTTCCGTAATTGGTACGTGCTCAATGTGTTCCCCAAACTCTGGAAACCTTACTTATCGTGGTGACATCTGTGCCCACGTTGTGTTCCTCGATATTTCATCAAGAAACCAACACCAGCACCGTCTACTTTTCCTTGAAGACTAACAAGCGTCCGTGGGGCCTCGGGGGGTGGCCTGTGCCTGCCAGGGGTGCTGTTCCGTTTCGGGTTTGTTTGGATTCAAGTGTCAATATCAGTAAAGAATCGGAGGACAGCACGGGCGCTGACCCATCTAACAGCTGGTTTCAAGCAGATAAATGCAGGCGTTTAAGGGAGAGGATGCTGTAAAGGTGACACAAACAGCTCCCTCAGTGCGCTGAGATCCTCAAGGTTTCACTTCTGCTGGGCAATTTCGTGCTTCGGTCCAAACACAAAGGAGAAGAAAAAGTCAGTGTGAAAATGACCCCAAAGCAAATGGCCAGAAGAAAAGGGCCCTGGGGACGTGAGTCTTCAGATGCCTGGCGTTCGTACAGCCACATATGTTGGCAAGCCAGATCCGACACTTAATTTGGTTTTTGACAACTTTTTTTTGGCAAATTAATACAGAGAATTATATATACACCAGAATATATACTAAACCTAGGTATGTTTGGGGGTTTTTCCTATAATTTCAATGTATGTATCAAGTTTTGCCTTCAGAGTGTATTGTTTCCTCTATGAATTCACGGGTTTTGAGGAGAGAAAGTCTCCACGGATGAAGCTTGGTGCAGAATTACCACGTAAAGGAGACTGGCATGCCAGCCTTTGGTAGGATGACGACCCGCAAACCTGGTCCCAACCTCTCTGTACGTCCGTGTGTAGGACGCACATCAGGCAGGCCTGGGAATTAAGCAGACGAATCCAGTAACAGGCTGTGTCTCTGTCACCGTGTGGATGGAAACGTCGTCTGCAATCTCCATGCCTCTGCCGGATGGTTAGAGAGGCTGAGGGCCAAGTTTACTGGCTGCCATCTTTAACTCGACGTTAACCAAGCCTGAGCCGTGAAGAGTGTCGCCGTCACCTTGAGAAGCAGTATACATCACAGCTGCCTGATCGTAGGGGCCTCCCCCCTGCTCTCGGGAAAATTCACGTTGAAGGATGTTTCTGGCCCTCTGTGGCTAGTGCCCTCAGCCAGAGCCAACTGGTCACATGTGGAACAGTCATTTCATGGTAACAATCACGGCAACACCTACTGTCCCCGAGCTTGTAGACTGCATGCAGGGACCTCTAGAAACGTGTCTCTCAAAATCAGCCCTGCCAGTATCATTCCCATTTTATGGATACAGAAATAGAGCCCGGAATGCCTCCAAGAGTCATCAAGGTGGTCCCTGCTGCACGCAGCAGCCAGAACTGGACAGCACGTGTGTGAATTTCTGACGTCCTACGTGTCACGTTTGGATTTACCGTAGGAGACACAAGCAGCACCCATGCCCACACCGGCACACGCGGGGAACCCAGGTGGCTGCCGGAGCCCGAGGACCAGCTGAGAGCAGAGAAGGGCCACGTGAACGGGCGTGCACTCGATTCCTCGTGAGCAACGCGCTTGTGGCACCGATGAGGTCACACAAACAGAAGAGAGACCGTAGACATCCTTCTCCATTTCGGCTGCTGATTTCGCGTGACGCAGCCCAGCAGTTGGGATATTCTCAGCAGAGGGGAAAGGAAGGTTAGAAGCCACGCCCCACACATGTGAGGTCTACACTGCGAGAAAACCAGTACAAGTGGAGAGTTTTTAAACCCACCGTGTGGAGACTTAGAATTTGTACGGTTAAATCCCAGGTCGCTCTGGCCACCGCACCGCCGTCAGTAGGCCCAGAGCACCGCTGTCCGCTGCCTGGCAGCAGCTATAGGATAAGAAGGGACTTGGTTAAGGAACAAAATGGGAAGCAAAAACGCCCACTGAGTGTCCGAGTTCGAGTGTGGAGGAAAGACCGTAGCAGGAAGCAAACCCCAAGAACTCGGAAAGAAGCACTGGCAAAATTTAGGACAAACGGGAAGCATGACATTGGTAACCGCCATCACATCCGCGATTTAACTCTGCCACCTCATAGGGAAGTCTGACCACCGGCGAACCTCGAAGGAACAGCAGTCCCGGCTTCCTGCTGACGACAAAGCTGCTTTCAAAACTGAGAGAAAAGATGTAGAAACTCAGCGAAATAACCAGAAGTACCGAAAGGGAAAATACGCTTTCCCAGTTAAGAAAATACGGATCAGAAAGAAATAGCTGCTAAGCCTTTACTCCCCGGGTGTGAACACACCAGTGTGCATCACGCCCGCGGGGGCCGCACAAGCCTTGTGGAGCTGATGGGACCCGGGGCCCGTGTGAGCACACGCGTGTTGGTCTCTGCGGTACAGACGTGCACCCCGAAGCAGCCACGAGTGGTGTCTCCCGTGTGCACTGAGGACTCACCGGCCCGGGCGTCACCGAGGCTCCCACCCTCCGCAGCCTGCACCCCAGGCAAAGCCAGCACCAGCAGGAGCTGGGGCGTCACGGAGGAAAGAGGTGCGGCCAGGAGAGGCGCCAGACAAGACCCCCCGGATGGAGCTGGCAAGGGCTCCCCAGGGGGGCCCTGCCCCCACAGAAGGAGCCTCAGAGACGGAGGCGAGAGGCCCAGGCCTTCCTGGGGGGGGACCGGGGGGGGGGGGCCCAGGGACATCCTCAGTGGCGTGCAGAGTGGGGGAGGGACGCCGAGCATCTGGCCGTCCTTGATGGCTTGGGTCACGGGCATCACCCTCTGCCTCCGACAGCAGCCCCGTGTGCACGGCCCCCGCCTGACCAGCCACGTGGGTGTCCCCGTTTCCTTTCCTTCATGTATTAAAAATGGGAGCTGTTCCTGTTTACGCCGGACCCACTGGGGCCCGTGGCTGTCACATCCCCCAGCATGTGTCACGGTGCCTGGCTCTTTGGGCGCTCAAAGTGTTCTGAATAAACAAGGAATGAACGAATGAACGAGGGAACGAACGAACGAACGCACGGCTGACGGCCGTTTTCTCCCAGCCCCCACCCCGGGGCCAGACCGCAGCGGTGCTGCCCTCCGGTGCCTGGCGGCTGCTCTCCTCCTCCGCCCGTGACCCAGCCCTGCGTCTGGGCCTGACGGAACCGCCCTCGGCCCTCGTGCTTCCGGGTTCTGGTCTCAGCTGAACCCGTGGCTCCTGGGCCTCCCCAGCCCCGTCACACTCTCCCCTGCTCTCTCCCCTCCACGCCACTGTCCCCCGTGCTTGTGTGCCACTCTCTCCCCCACCCTCCTGTGGGCCCTGCTGTCCAGGGGCTGGGAGTCCCCTCACCGGTCCTGCAGGCAGGTGTCCACGGGACACCAGTGGACGGGGTGGGGGCGTCCAGGGGACACCCGTGGACAGGATGGGGGCCGGGTTCAGGGGCCACTGGTAGATGGGACGGGGGTGGCGTCCAGGGGACACCCGTGGACGGGTGGGCAGGTGAGGTGGTCGAGGGTAGAGAGATCCGGCACTCAGAGGCGGAGACCACCCCGGGTGGTCTGCCACCTCCCTGAGGAGGGCCGCTCATCGTGTCGGAATCCAGCTGAGAAAACCGGAAGGAAATACCTGTTGGTGCAGGCGCCCGTGATGAGCCTGTACTTGTTTGCCAGGCAGGTGTCTGGACACGTGGGGGGCAGCATGTGAGGCAGGCATCCGGACAGGTTCGCGATGGTGCTCAGCACGTCTTCTGGTAGGACATCTGAGGAGAAACAGCAACGCGTTTGTAACGGCAAGCCTACCGATGCGGTGGGCACTGTTGCACACTCTCAGGGTGTCTGTGACCCCTGTGTTCGGGCTCACACGGAAGCCACGCTGTTCGCTGGGGCAAGGGCTTCCTTCTCCGTGAATCCGGTCGCTCTCTCAACAATCCCCTTGAGCCTCTCACCGCCAGCAGGTGGCCTATTAAAACCTGTTTTTGCTTTGTGATCGTTCAGGAAAGCAAGTCAGAGCTCCAAGCCCCCAGACACAAGCCACCTAGTGGGGTCACCTCCCCGACATGCCTGTCACACCCTCGCGGTGATGGAAGATAGCCAAGCGCAGTCCTTGTCCCCCCTCCAAGCCTGCCCTGGTCAGGTGTGCCCGCAGCATCCGTGTGTCCATCCACAGAACCTTCTTTTCTCTGCGCACTGATTTCTGGATCCCTTCTCCCGAATCTTTCTAGATTAGGGGCCCAGAAACCTGTCTCTTATTTACTCACTTTCTCCCCAATTCTGTTGCTGCTTATTGAACAAATCAAAGCCAGGACTGCTTTGTTGTCTGCTCGCAGAAGGGATCACTGGCCACTTCTCCAAGATGGTTTGTACAAATCTTCAAGATAACGCCTTAATAAGCCGACTAACCAGACACCCGTGAAGCTGAGGTATTCAGCAGAGAAACACAAGGAGAAATGCACCCTGTAAACTGGGGAGAAATGACACCGGCTTCCTGACCATCAACGTGCGCCGAGCAGTCCCTGCGGCTCAGTGACCCTCCGACCACGCTTTCTGCTCAGCCGACAGGAACGTGTGCGGCTCACGACGTGAGCGCAGAGCCTTCAGAACAGGAAAGGCTCTGCCATGGGGAGCGTGACCAAGCCCACCGCACGGAACCACGATCGTAGCTGCGCTGACAGACGGAACCAGCGTGCGCGAAGAGCGGGAAGCAGGGCGCCTGCAAGTAGCTGTGGACACTGCGCACTGATGAGGTCCCAGGGGCCGCGTGGCCTCAGTTACTTTTCCCACATTCTACACTGTCTACACCTGTCCACGCTGTTGACAATGGCAACCATAGGAAACTCCCTAAATTAATGGGTTCTTCAGTTCTGTATGTTGGCCTGGGCCAAACCCCTCTGCCCCGTCTCCTGATACCCCTGCACCCTGCGGCTGAGCAAGGCTCTGGGGACGGGATGGGGCCTACAGCCCTCAGAGCCCTCACTCAGCCCCACGATTTGACACAAAACCACGTCAGAAGAATCTTTGGCTGCCATGAAGTCAGTCGAACCTGGTAAGTGTACTGTCTGAGAATTCTGGTGAGTCCCGACTCAGCCAAGCCTGTCTTGTTGTAGAGACTAAGTAACCACTTCAGGTTAAGTGTCTACGGCCAGTTCGGATTAAGGGACCCAGTAGCTCACGGCACCACACTGGAAAAGTCTGGGTAAGTTTGTTTCTTAAAAATCCTGCCTTCTAGTTGCCCACCCCAGGGCTCACAAATGTGCCCGTGGTCACGACGGCCATCAGCGCAGGGCCCTGCACCCACGGGGTGCTTTCACCCGATGCGGCTTGAGCCCAAGTCTATTTTGTTCTGCCAACAGCCGGGCAAGCCGGGCAAGCCGGCAGCCGGTGTGGTGCCCAGTTCAGGGTCGAGCACCCTGGTTCTCCAAGGCTCTGAGCCAGTAACAGGCAATGACTCACCGTCCTTGCTGGTCCCTGAGCTCCTGGGAGCTCCCCGAGTTCTGACCAGGTCTGTGGACCTCCCCACACTCTTTCTACCATGACGCGGGACGCCCAGGAGGCTGAGCTCCTTGGCAGGCTCAGTTCGGACGGCAGAGCAATAGTGACCTCCCAGGCCAGCGCAGACACAATGTGATGTCTGCCTGAGCCTGTTTATTTAAGAGCCAAGTGTCGGTCCTGGGAGTGAGCGGGGACCCCATGTGTGTGCAGCGGAGTGAGAAGTGCCCTCGAAGTCCCCGCCCAGCCCTGGGGTCTGCTCCTCTGGTGCCGTGGCTCTGGGCGGGGGGCACCTCAGGGAGCTCACCGGTGGGAGGCTGAGATCGCCTGAGCTTCCCGTAGACTCTTGTCTTCACGGCCTGCACGGAAGCTTCCATGATCTCAGCCGCTCTGGAGACGGCGCGGCTGGTTGGCTCGGGGAGCTTGGAAAAAGACAGCAGCTGTGATGGAGAAGGGCTCTCTCGTTCGCTGAGGTCTCTGCGCACAAGAGGAGACTCGGGGTTGGTTACTCTTTCGTGGCCGCGTTCATCGGCCGTCACTGATGGCTTCAGCGGACACTGCGGAGCACCACACGGCCAGCACTGTGCGGGCTGCAGGTCAGGCTGATACACGCGCTGCTCGCCGGGACTCAGGGCTTAGCCAGGGGACAGGGCCTGTGCGACACTGTGTGAGACACACCTTCTACCCCAGATCCTGAGATGCCTTTGCCGTGTTCCAGCCGGTGAGCGAGCCGCCCTGAGTGCCTGCAGCCCTGCAAGGTCCCGGGGCCGAGAATCAGCTGCCACAGGGCACGACGCGGCCACACGCCCTTTGTTCTCGAACCGAAATCACCCTAACGCGAAGTGCCATCGGCGTCGCCGGCAGCCGGCCTTCCTGGCCTCTCACATCCCGGGAGCCCCGGCCACAGGGGGTCAGTGCGGCCCCTCTGCCCACGGCATCTGGGGGCCAGGGCCCCAGGAGCAGGGGGGCCGGGCTGGCCTCTGTGCCGAAGCTGCCCTCGCTTGGTGACTCCTGCAGGGTGGCGTCATGCGGCCCCAGGTGGAAGCAGGAGCTGGCAGGAAGGCCGACGCTGAGGCCTTGGCGAGAAACAGCCAAATTCTCGCTCAGTCGTCCCCCTTGCTGCCATCCAGTGGGCCACCTCTGTGTTGCATTTGTTAATAAGCACAAACGGGCAGGGCTTCCTGGGTGAAAACAGCGTGGCAGGCGCTGTGCTAAGTACTACTTTCTTCTCAGTAATTCCTCACAAAGGATCAGGGGATAAATTCTGCAATTATGCCCATGAGACCAGAGCAGCTGGCCTCAGGCCGACAGCCAGCGAGAGAAGGACCCGGTATTGGGACACAAAAGTCACACACGTCTGCAACGTGTACGTTAGAGATACCCGAACGCACATATAAAGGTATCTGACATGTAACTTTAATATAAAAAAGCTGTGCTTAGACCTGCCAGTGTGTTTTTTAACCACATGATGGCATCATGCACTTGAGGGGATCCAGCTTTTCATAGAAGCTGAGACACTGGCCTGCATACTGCACAGACCCCCAGACAGGGGACCCTGGCCCCAGACACGGAATCCCAGCCCCAGACAGGGGACCCTGGCCCCAGACATGGGAACCCCAGCCACAGACACAAGACCCCCAGCCCCAGACAGGGGATCCTGGCCCCAGATATGGGAACCCCAGCCCCAGACAGGGGACCCTGACCCCAGAAACAAGACTCCCAGCCCCAGACAGGGGACTCTGGCTCCAGACAGGGGACCCTGGACCCAGACACAGGAACCTGGCCTCAGACAGGGGACTTTGGCCCCAGATAGGACCCCAGTTGTGGACACCGGACCAAGCTGCAAACATGGGACTCTGGCCCCAGAGAAGGGACCCTGGCCCAGCCACGAGCCCCCAGCCACAATGGTATCAGTGCCAGGCTTTCTGGGTCCCCCTGAGACTCTGTGTGGACAGGAGAAGGGCCCTCCAAAGATGTCCACACCCCAGTCCTCAGAGCCTGTGAACACGCCTGGCCGCATAGCAAAGGGGACTGGGTTGCAGGTAGAATCTGCCTTGCTGGTCATCCGATGCTAAGATGATGTTGTTTCCCTGGATTGTCCCATGGGCCATGTGCCCCCCAGGTCCTTGCGAGGGGAGGACGAAGTCAGAGTGAGGACGACCGAGGAGAAGTGCTCAGGGACCCAACGTCACCGCCCGAAGAGAGAGGAAGGCCCACCAGGGGACGTGAGCCGGGAACGAGCCGGGACGGTGAGGACAGAGGTTTCCTGGAGCAGAAGGACTTCGTCCCGCAGGCTCCTGGGCTCTGGTGCAGCGAGGGCCGTGCCAGGCTTGTAAGCACAGGACCGTCTGCCAACTCACGAGTGCTGTACTGAGCCCTGGGGTTTGGGGCAGTGTCTGCATGGGCCTCGGGGCGAGCACCCCACTGCTCCCAGATGCCCGGGGAGGATGGCGGCCCGTGCGGTGCGGTGGCCTCGCAGCCTCGGCCGGGAACCCCACTCCACATGGGCTCCCTGCCCCCCCCCAGGAGCCCTGCCTGTTACGTCCACGGGATCGAAGCTTTCCTGCTTGTGCGGGGAGGCGGTGTTTCTCCCAGGGCTTAGCCGCTCTGCGGCGACCTTGGAGAACTGTCCGGAACAAAGGCAGAGGGGCCTCTTAACTGCCTTTCTGAGCAAACAGGTGAGCAGAACCTTCCAGGGGCAAACCCCCTGCAGCCAGGCCAGGCCACAGCCCGGAGTACGGGCTTCCAAGGTCACAGACACCGCCAACACAGCCCGCGGTGGGGAGGCGGCCTCCAGCGTGGGCGGGCCTGGAGAGGCCACCTGAGGAAAGGGCTGTGCCCACCGTCTGCTCGTGGAAGGGGCCCACGCAGGCAGCTGCACCCCACGGGAGCTTACACCAGTCACACTGCCTCCCATCCCATGGAAGGGGTCCCCCGAACGATTGAGGCACCTCCCTTGAGACCACTCCATCTGCTGGGACCCAACAGCGCCCCCCAGCCTGGGACCCAACAGCATCCAGCCCCCCACCAGCCTGGGTCCGTCCCCGCTTGGGGCACCTGCCCGCTCACGGGGAAAGTGCACTTTAACACGCTGCTCTGTGCTTGTGGCTGACCCCCTGGCCGCGCTGTTCCAGCCCCGATCCCCATGTAAGTCTTCTCGTGTGGAATCCCGGGACCAGACTGCGTCCACACAGCACACACACGCCCTCACTCCTGACAAAGGTGTGGCTCCTTTCCGGGCTGGCCTGGGGGAGCATGCGCAGATTCCCAGAAGTGGGCTTTCACTGAGAGAGTACGGACGCATGCCACACATATGCACACACGCACACGCGTGCGACGGGAGCCCAGAGCCCAGCACAGTACACACACATATGCACACACGCACACGTGTGTGACGGGATCCCAGCGCTCACCAACAGAGCTGAGATAAAGCCCTTGGAGCCCTTCTGGTGAGGTTGACAAGACACGTCCTCACGTCCAGACCCGGCTGGCCCGGCTTGGAGCGAGGACCGGACACCAGCCCCTGCCCCCTGGGCCCCAGCCTCGTGCAGCCAGGCTCCCGTGTCCCGCACAGACCTTCCCTGGCTGGCGGCAGGCCCTCTTGTGCTTCCCACGGACGGGCGGTCCTCAGAGATCTCCTCGGGGACGCACGTCACCCGGCTGTGCGGCCTCCGGTGTGGACTGCTTCTCCAGCCCCCAAGGCACCAGGCCAGCCTGTGCTGCCCACTCCCGTGACCAGGGTCTGCCTGCTGACCCCCTCCCCCCGGGGGGATTCTCTGTTCCCTGCGAGGCCCCGGCTCCAGCTGGCTACCCTGCGTGCGGGCCTGGCCGTTCCGGGCCCACGACAGGCTGGTGGCAACCACGAGTTGTCCTGCGGGGGTGTGTCCCTCTGGGCGCCTGGGCTGCTCCCTGCGGAGGCGCCTCCACTCCTGTCACCTCCGCTCCGTAGCCACCCCGTGAGGTCGCGGGGGCCGCTCACGCACGTCACAGTGCACACCCGGACCACGGCTGCAGGTTGACGGCCTCAGCTCTAGAGGTGAGTAAGGCAGTAAGTATGAAGAGGCGGCACACCTACCCTCTATTCGCAGCAAAACATGCCTGATTTTGAGCTCAGATCTGGGGAGCTCTCACGGGCTCAGCATCAGCCGTGCGTCGGATCCCGGTTCCCGGTGTCGCCCTGGTTCCCCCGGAGCGTCAGAAGCTCCCTCAGCCTCCCCCATGGAGCCGGAAAGGCCACAGCGTCCGCAGCGGATGGGCTCCAGGGACACCGCAGACCAGGCCGTGCCGCCCGGGGCGCACCTTCTCCAGGCAAACTGAGTGTCGGAAGTGGCCCGAAGGCCAACCTGGGAGGATTTAGCGCCCGGGGACGTGAGCCCCAGCATCGTGCCATTTACACTAATACGAGCGTTGGGGTCCTCGGGTCCACGTTCCTGGACCCAATCGCCTCCTGGCACCATGGGTCCCCTGCTGCTGAAGTGTCACGGACAGGAGGACTTGCTCCCCACCGCGAGCACACGGGCCCTGGGAGCGCATCCTGGGAGCGCCAAGGAACGGTCATCAGCCCTTAAAGGCAAGTCATTGGGTGCTGGGGGCATTCGGGACCCTCCCTGGGAGGCTCAGGGGGCGGGGGTGGGGGGGCGGCCGAGGTTCTCCCTGACATGCGCCTCTGGGCTCA